ATAAAATAATGCAGTAACGACATCCATATTTGTGGAATAAACGCTAAAACAGTATGAAAATCTTATATGTATTTATTAAGGGTTGCAATTTAATACCACAAAGTTTTTTTTATAGATAAATGTAGGTATGTATGATGCACATGACGCAGAACATTCCAGAGATAATTAATTTTATCCAAAAAATAAAGTCTATTGTAATAAAATATTTTTAAACACTTGATTTTTCTTGACTTATAGGAATGAAACTGGCCGTCAGTAACTTTGTACGAGATTTCCATTTCTTTGATAACACAAAAAGACTTACCGAAGCATAAAGTCTTTGTAAAAGTTATGAAACTTGGTTGCTTTGAGCTATATGTATTGTACGTATAGCTCATATATATAATATATGTAAAATGAAACAAAATACAGAAATCAAAGCCATATCTATCTTTATTAATACTTATTATAAATAAGAAGGTTAATATGTTTGGATATTTATTATTTAGTTAAACTTTAATGCACAAATACAATATATAAATGTACATACAAGTATTGCGAACTTTACACCTAAGGGCGTTCTCTACCAGTCAACCATAAGGCAAACTGAGAAGTTAGTAAGCGGCGCATTTTAGTTTACAAACGTTTACGTCGTAACTTTTAAATAATACATATTATTAGACATACATAATTACGTACGATACATATATATGTATATGTACATATACACATACTTGGATTATATACTTAGGTACATGAAAATTACCCATGTATGAGGCAGAGGGAAAGAATATTTCTTAGGTCTTAGAGTATTTACAAAATTCTAAAGCTTCAATTTCTGGTGATTATATTTGACAGGTGGTTGTAGTATCGGGAATCATCATCATATAAATAAAATCGAATTCAACAGTTTTTGTATTAGTAAGTAATTCTCAATTGAGGACCTTCTCATTTCTCACGATTCAGAATGTCAAACAATCCGACGCCCATCTTTTTCAAGTCGGTCGCAGATGATTTATTATTAGATTTGATTTCGAGGAACATTTCCGTTAGTAGAGATAAAGGAAAGTCGTTTATAGCCTACTAAGTGATATTTAGGACTTCGTTTGTTTAAAATTAATAATAACAATAAGAATAATCTTTAACATATGCCCGTCCGTTCTGTATTTTAAGGAAATTTCCTTTCGTCATCACTTTTATCATCCTCATATAACTTTTAAATTCATTCATGCTTGGCTAACACGCGGGGTGTTTGAACGCATTACCCCCGTTATTATTAAAAAGGGAGATATCTAAAACATATATAAAGTAATAATAATAATAATAATAATAATATTTATTTAAACCTTCATCAGTGTACAGTTACGTCGTCGTCGTTAGTACGTCATGCAGTCCTGACTCCCAAACTAGCGTAAAGTAAGCTTAATATATTGAGTAGATTATTTTTTAGTTTAATGAACATATTTATGTTCACAAAACTAAAAAATAACCTCTCACTTGCGAAAAGATTTATTTCGCATATAAATTTCGTCTCCTATGTCACGTCTTCTACATTATTTTTTGAGATAAATGAGCCTTTATCAGTCCGCCTGATACAATATATCTTCACTTAACATTTCATCAAGATCACTTCAACCGTGAAAAGGTTACAAACAAACAGATATATACAGTTTCGCATTTGTAATATTAGTATGGACAGTAAAATGTGAGTATAAATTAGGTGCTATATTTTCATTGATATTTTACGGGGTAAGTGTTATGAGAATCGGCGCCTTTTATGAAATTGAGGGTGGCATTTGTTGGCAGTAATGGGGTACAAAATTAGGACTTAAATATTGAAATGTTATTAGAAATTGGTCTACAAAGCGCTATAAAGGGAGTCTATGTCATTATGAGCTCAATTTCATAATATATAACTGTAACAAAGTAGGGCTGAAAAACATTAAAGTTATATTACAAATTCTCGGTGTCGATTAATTTAGCTTTCCACTTTATCTTAGATGGTCACGTGTTTGATTCCCGGATGATACAAACATAATTCACCGATTGTTCGTATTGGTCAGAGTGTTTTGTATGCATATAACATGGATACAAATATCTACAAAAACAACTGAAATATTTATATCAGTTCTCAGTAGGTACAGAATTTTTATATATAGTAACATTAAGTGGTCGGCGGATTTCAATGTTACAGTAACTTAATAATATTATGCAACAATTAATATAACTTATCAGGTAACTCACAATTATCTAAATTGCTTTAGATTATTCTACTTTTAAAATATCCATTTTGAAAATGTACGTGTAAATTTATACGTATATTAAAATCCAATATTAATGGGACAGATGATAAGAACCTTTTAATTATGCGTCAAATAAATATTTACATGAACATTTCGCGACGGCTATTAAACTTAATGGAAGAGGAGTGCCAAATTCTAGAATTATAGCTTCACTAGGACTCAATTTGTCTTATAACTGTTAAACATTAAAAACCACACAGCAGCATATAGTCTCAAACTAAGCTGAGATTGTACTGTGGGTACAAAACAAATAATAGAAAATCGATATATTTGTTTTTGTAAATATATAGGTATATATGCTTATAAGATAAATAGAAAACATCCACACGAATAGAAACTTGTGAGTGCAAATGTATCTTTCGAGAATCGAACTTACAACTATAGTAATGCGGTGGCCTAAACAGCCAAGATCACCGATATCCCCAAATAACTACGTATTAACTTATTTTCAATGGATATAGAATATTTTTTTCTAAGTTTGTATCATTCTCTGCTTGAATGGGCTCATCTGTTTCCTTGCAACTACTGAATGGTAAATACATTCTGACAAATAGGTATTTTTTTTGGATGGATTATAGTGAAAAGCTGCACCCACCCGCGCTTATGGTTTATGCTGGCGGGGCACCAGTGGAGGACGATAAAATGAGCATGAGGTGAGGTCAGTTAGCCCATCGTGGTAAATTGAATGAATATATCTGGTTGATATGTCTGATGGTTTCCAGGGTGAAGGTTAAACTGACATGGTACATTGCTAGCAATGGGATTATCAGTCCACATTACTGACAATCCCCTTTCCCCCCGACAAATAGGTATTATTAGTGGTCGTATATTGAATTGTGCACGTCCCTGCGCTAACGGTACAGGATTTCAGGGTGATAGGATAAGGATAACGTTTCAGTTAGCAAATAGTGGCGAATTTACCAGGAAATTACTATGATGGTTTCTGTTGTCCTCCCATAACAATGTATGAATCTCTTACCCAGTCTATAATATCTACTTATCTACTGTAATACGAAATGAGTATATATTTTTAAAGTAATAACAAAGATACGTACATCATTTTAAACAACGCGTTCAGATATCACATTCACATAGTACCTATAATTTAAAACAGGTATTTTTTAATATTGAATGTTGACACATTTTAGAGAAAAAAATATGAGTAGAAAATAAGAATGAAGTATGTGACTTAAAGAACACTCGTGTTAAACTGGTTCATTTATATTTTAGGTACATTCAGATATCTCAGTCAATTTAAATGTAGAGCGTTTTTGTTATTGTTAATTAATTTATATATTCCAATCTGTGGGATATTCGACGGGGCAAGGAACAGGTATTTCCTAACGCATACAAAACACGCTACTAAAGGTCAGATCAATAAATAGTTAACTAATAATATTATTATACAACGAATAATAGTATTGGAATTTTTGAAACATAGGTATAATGTAATTTGTTGCTTACCTGCAAAACTTATATCTTTTTTTTGTTAAATCAAAATGTATTATAATGTAAGGTTCCTTGTTTTTTTACAGACAATTAACTTACCTTCTTTTTGAAGTTGCACTTCTAACAGAGCAGTGGGTCGTGCTCTAATATAAGTTAAAACAAATAATTAAAGTCAACTTTTACGGTACTAATTTCACGTTACTACACAACTTTCTAGCTAAATCAACCGACTATCAACCTACATTTCCACCCTATCTTGTAGTGCTATTTGGACAAATATGTGGTAATTGACATCGTCTCAGACTATTTTTGTGCTACCACTCCCACACATTTAGCCACGGTTGGTTTGGGTATTCCCGACCTTGCCCTTTTAATTTATCGTCAATTTGGTAGATATCAGCTCAAAGCCAGTCCAATGATGTTTCGTGTTTCGTAGTTACGTATACTTTCAAACTTAGAATAGAAAAGAAAAGAAGGGTGCGCAACGGTACAGATTAACATGAAGTTGGATACCACAATTCTTTAACACTCTTGAGATTTGGCTTGACACTTGTTGATGTAAAAACTTAGTAATTAAATAAATTAATTGATCTATTACATAGGTAAAGTACCTACCTACACCATGTTTTGCAATAGTATAATCATGAGAACCAGACATACTATTTTGATGTTCTTTAATTTACTTGTAATGCTTATTGATGAATGAGTAATTACTTAAGGTTTTTCTGATAAACGTCTTGGGAGTACAAAAACATAAAAATATGTTGCTACAAAAACTTTATATACATACATATAGGCCTAGCAATTATGAACCTTGATCTTCTATTTACGACGCAGCAATTATAGTCGGTCGATGACTTTACAAAAATTTGTCTCAATTACCGTAGTGGATAATCTTGTTTGTTTTTTCACGTATTGAGAAACATTCAACAGGCGCCTGACAGTAAATAAACATTTACCCTCTTATTTTTAAAATATGTTTTAAGTATTTGTACTGCGTATTCAAAATAATTAATACATATTATTTATCAGGTTCAGTTATGTTTGCTCAATGATATAAAGAAAGGAAGAAAAAATGACTCACCAATCAATATTTCGTCACTTTTACTTTTCACCATGAATAATTTTTGTTTTAGTGCCCCATTAATTATAAAGTCTGGTCTTATCGAGATTGTTTTTATGGTTTTAAGTTTTTGTTAATCAGGGTACTATAAAGTTGAATTAAGCAAGGGTCAACACGTTATTAAAACTTGTTTTTCTTGTTTACAGGTAATGTGATGACGCCGTTACTTCCGCAACTATGGAGAATGACTACGAGGATATACTGATGCTAAATATTTCAAATGCCACGGCCCATGCCGCCGCGTACGCTGAACCTGATTCCTTGAACCTTTTGGTGCCAGTGAGCATAGCGTACTGCATTATATTCGCTGCCGGCATTTTGGGAAACATCAGTACATGCGTTGTCATCGCTAGGAATCGATCGATGCACACAGCTACGAACTTTTACTTATTCAGTCTAGCTATCTCCGATTTGATACTCCTTATATGTGGGCTTCCCATCGAGTTGCATCGGATATGGCATCCGTTTACTTACCCTTTGGGGGAACCACATTGCATCGCGTTAGGCTTAGCATCAGAAACATCAGCCAATGCTACTGTATTAACAATAACAGCTTTTACAGTTGAGAGATACATAGCGATATGTCGACCATTTATGTCGCATACAATGTCTAAATTATCACGAGTGGTGCGTTTCATTTTTGTGATTTGGGTGTGTGCTTTGTGTACTGCAGTGCCACAGGCCATGCAGTTTGGTATAGTGACGGATGTCGACAATATACAAAACACTAGTGTGTGCACAGTGAAAGGTGAAGGTGTTCATCAAGTGTTCGTCATTTCGAGTTTTATATTTTTCGTAGTGCCAATGTCTGTGATTTGTGTACTGTACGCGTTGATAGGGATCAAGTTACGAACTTCCACTGTATTGAAAGTGAAAAAACCATCTGTCGAAAGCCAAGAGCGGTGTTCCACTGGGACCAGCACTCGATATAAAAATGGTACAGCGCAAGGCCGAGTTATTAGAATGTTAGGTGAGTTAAATTATTTTTTATAATTAATGTTACCGCCCGTCGCCCGGTTCATTTGGGTTCTTTACAAAACTTTTAATTTCTCGTCGTTTCTTTACTATTCATTCATAATTAATTCATGGATATCATCCGTGAATTATACATATTAATCACTTTTTATTGATGAATATATAGTGATTAAAAAGGATTTGATCTGTAATTTTGAATATTAGCGTACAGACAGACTTTGTCATTTACTATGAATAAGGAGATAAAGTTTTCATTCATTTGTTTCTATCAATTATTTACAATTTTTTTTCTAATTGTTAGGGGGTGATTTATTTTTATAATACACAACTTGCAGCATTATTTAAGTTATTTCATTCTTAAAATTTAATCTATGAGAATTATATATGTAAGATAGTTGTAAGTAAACCTATAGTTATTTATTTTATTTTAATGGTATGTGTAGTAATGTTCAAAAATGTATTATTGATTTCTATCGGCAGTGTTGATTCCAAAATAAGAATATTATTTTTGAAAGATTTATTGTGACAGAAGGCACTGCGAGAGGCGCAGAGTTTCCTTTCAGTACAAAACAAATTAGTTTTTTTCTTTTACATAAGACGAAAAACTGTATAAGTATTGAACCTTTGCTTTCTATAAAAAAGGGAACAAAGCCGACAAAAAGAAGGAAAATATCAATCTACTCCGATAGACGCCCGAGTTTCATTGAGTTATACCTATATAATAGATATAAAACAATGATGGCCTATGCAAATATTCTTATTCTTTATTTAATTACTATAAAATTTATTATTTATGTTTTTGTAGAAATATAGTAATCTACTTGCAAGGTTATAAATATATTATGTAGGTTATCTACTCTTCTAAATAAACTGGATACTTTTTTGCTAGTCCTAGCATAAGATGTACTTGTAATGTTGATTATATGACTTACAAAACTCAAAACACGAATTAGTGAATTTCAAATCTGACCTAACTTCTGTATGTATTTTTGTTCCAATTTATCCGATTTTTAATGACGAGTATGATCGAGTATTTTACCTATTACGACGAGAGGAACATGGCATAAATAACAACTGTTCCCATTTACGATTAATTAGTAATAACGAATTTATTCATTTATAATTGCAGTATTTTTGACAGGAATACGGTTCAGCAAAGTTTGACAGGTTTTAATAATTCCTTCAGTCCGAGATTAATGGACTGCCGTAAATGAAGTTGTTTATACCACTTAACGTTCTTCACAATAGCCGCTGGCACTAATACCTATTTATATAAACATTTAACAAAGTTTGGAAATAAAAGTTTTTTATTCATTGTGACCTTTTCGTAATGATGCATGTATAGATAAGTCGATAAGGATATCCGATGGTGGGTTTTTCCATTAAGGTATGAAGCTAGGGACATTATTATCTTAGTATGTTTGAGAAACGGGTTTCGTAACATGGAATCAGGAATAGACAGAGTAGACGATATAGTCTGTTATTTTTATTTTTTATAATTGGAATGGCAAATAAGCTGAGGGCTCACCTGATGGTAAATGGTAACTGTTGCTTATATACTATACATGTACAGCTACACAGACATTATGTTATTAAGTGACGCTCCTTTATACTATTCATACGTCGCATTCTAAGGAGGGCTAAGATGACGTCGAGTCCATAACCTGTAATTTCACTGCAATATTACCTTTCAAAACAAACTGGTGACTGAAACTGAAACGCAACTGACAAGTAAGTGATAAGTAGCCATGTTGCAAAGTCAATGGCATTGATGTAATTATAATGTGTTTCGGAGTGGGGAAGCTTTTAGGAGTTGATTGGTATGGGCTACAATGATGGAAGTTAGAAATGGTAAATAAAAAAGCTTATAAATAAAGTATAGTGGAAAAGTATTTAATATAGTAATAATAAATTAATATATTTCTAGTAATAGCGAGTAGAGCATGAATATAACATATTTTTGCTATGTATTTATAAAACATAAATGTACTTTATGTTTGAATTATGTTAGAAATTACCTAAAAAATAGGCGTAACAAAGTTTGACGAAATTGGATTTTTTTGTAACTTTGGGAAGGTGTCATTCTAATTTAACTTTACAGAATGAATTTTATAGCTTAAGAACTTTTTAATATTGTACTAAATTTCATTACCTGTTTTGTAATAGTATAAATTGTAATTTTATAATTAATTAAATATTTAATAAACACGTTGTGTTGAATTTAAATGGTATAACGTTATTTAATTTGGATATGAAAAGCTCAGATTACGACATAATAGTAGGTATAGTTATGACAAAATTTTCTATTATAATCGAACCCATAATTCAACTTCGAGGAAATGAGGATAATGCCTTAGATAAATATTGGTTTTTAAAGTATGTTAAACGGGAAAGGGGTAGCTTGTTTTCTAGGTAATACATTTTAATTAACGGTGTATTGTCATATTCGTTTTAGTTGTGTAAATAAGATAGTATTACATAGAAAATGCGACTATGAATTATCAAATTTGCGAAAAAGAGACTTTGGTACAGATTTTGTTACAGTTGGCTTTTAATACTATTTTTTATTAATAGATAATGTCAAATGAAAAAAAAACAAGTCAGTTTGTAAACAAGTCTATTAATATATGATAACGCGGTCAACTGCAATAATAGAATAGTAAATAGGTATTTGGAATTAATATTATCATAGAATAACTATTACTAATAGTTATTTTATGCTATTTTTGAATCAGCTTGTTTTGTTCTCCTCCTCAACCTCAGACCTCAGACATGGCATTCGATGTGGAGTAAATAATGACATGATATTCATGGTTCTGATCATGTATATATGATACTGTTGTCAGTTTGGGTAAATCTCTATTTTGTTTCCCATTCGTATTTGTATTTGATAAAATATATATTACTAGCTATGCTCGTGGTTTCATCCAATTGTTATAGTGACCTTGACCAAATGATGAAAGAATACTAAATAATCTAACCCAAAAAAGCTAAAGAAAAACGTTTTATAGTCTTAGCTTCATAAATGACGATTTTCCATAAAAAATATCGTCTGCCATTTTACCTCCATAAGGGTAAAATTTTTACAAACTTTGAATGTCATATTTATTTATATTTAATCAATAGCCTAAAAAATAAGTTTCATGCTTCTAGCATTAGAAATGACGATACTTCCACACATACTTTTATCTCCCTTTTCAACCCCTTACAACTCAGTAGTTTTGTCGTGAAAGCGAGGCAGACAGACAGACAGAGTTACTTTCACACTTATAGCATTAGTAAGGAGTAAGGATTCCTAATGTCATAGAGTATTTTAAAGATTTTCTCTGTTATACAGTGGCTGTGGCGCTCTCGTTCTTCATCTGCTGGGCGCCATTTCATGTTCAGAGGTTACTTGCCATCTACGGCAAGCGTCTGAACACACCATCTGAAACATTTTATCTAGTAAGTATTATATTTATTACCAAAACTCTAATATATGGTATTATAATGTGATTGTGTTAACATATTCACATTTTTTTGGTTATGGATTTGATCTTAGTTGTCTCTACAATTATCATTAGTTTGGGGTTTTTCTGTATATTTTATTAATTCATATATCATGATATTTTGAAATAATTAAATCAATTAATAAGTAATCCCTAAGTAAGAAGCCTTAGAAAATGATGAGGTCTTCGTGAACACACTTGACTATATATCGCTGGGTATATTAAAATCCAAACTCCATCATTAGGATTAATTTGAATTGTTGTTTTGTTTGAAATGTTGCCATCACTGGAGAATCCGTCTATAATATAAATGAATACACAAAGTTTTGGAGTCCAATGCGAACTCACAATTTTTGCATCTAAGTTGAGTTGTAAACCACTAAACCCTTACAAATTTGATTATTCGTGTAATTGAAATGGCAAAAAAGCTGACGAGCCACCTAATGATAAGTGTCATACATGAAGTTTCACAGAAACCATCGTCGCCTATATAAACATAGATTTATGTGTTGCCATACCGGCGGATTAAGTAACTCTTATTCTGTAATTTCTTGTCTAACCATACAACCGAAACAACAACAAACAGCTTACAAAACAAATTATCACAACTGAGGTATACACACGACTTATTAGAGTCTCGGTAAATATATTTATTTGTATATTTAAAGAAAATAAAATAAATAGTGTTTGTTTATGCATATTTTATATGCATGTGCATTAAGTGAAAATTAGAGGGCCAAACTGTGAATTTCCCAATGTGAGAGTAACTTGATGTATAATGCATTATTTGTCGCCGGCCGGCATTTTGTATAATTCGCCCATTTGAAAGGCTGTCATTAATTTACAAGCAGCTACCGTTTTGGAAATTTCCGAAAATTAATCGTTGATTGTGTTCAATTAGTAAAGCTTATTATCATTAATTTAGTATAATATGATAAGATGGGGATTTGAAATGAACAACATCCAAAAAAGGGCTTTCAATTAGGTTACTTTTTGTTATGTAACATGTGACCGCTCAGGCTGATAGCAATTTAAAAAAAGGCCAATTTTATTATTAATTTGTAGGGCTTGAATCCGCAGTGTGAATATATATATAGTACATTATAAAAGTAAAATATGTTTATGTCTGGTGAAAGGCTCACAATGTATCAACAGCAAATATTCAACAAACAATAGAAGTAAAAAATCACACTCTTTTTCTAAATATAAAATACTAGTTATAAGTTGTCTTCTAACAAATATGACTGGATATAAATTTAACAATAAAGCTCCACTATAATATGTCTACACATGATCTTAAAATCAGAGTCACTGTCGGAGTAGTGGTGGAGGCGCCCTGGACCGCTTCTTAAATGGCTTCGTGTGTGTGATAAATTGTTCAGCAAAATTTATATCGGCCAAATTTAACCTCATCACTTCTGTTCTGATATTGTCCCTGTTTTTAGTATCGTGTGTAGAAAGTATTAGTGAATAAGGTTAGTACTCGCATTGTTCTCACTAATGTATTAATTTTAGTCAATTCAAATCGACCTCTATCACGGTTTTACTATTGACTTATCCTAAAACAAAGGCGTGAAGGTATATAGGAAGAAATTATATTATTATATTATATATCTCATTGCACTTTTACAGACTTACATCGTGCTGACGTGGTTGTCCGGTATACTCTACTTCTTATCGACTGCAATCAACCCATTCCTGTACAGCATTATGTCGAACAAATTTAGAAATGCATTTAAGGTAAGGATCTCAATTTTCAACAAGTAATAAAATCAAATTGTAATAGGTAAACAGTAATATTTCTTTCTTAATATATTTTTAGTATCTAAACTAAATATTATATTATATATTGTAGCATTATGGATAATAATAATATGGAACAATTAAAATAATATTAAAACTGTTTTAAAAAATACTTTCATCTATTGCCAGCAACTGCGAATACGTTTATTAGAAAAACGAAATCGCAGTATTACTTAGTATTTTATATATAAAGCTTTTTCCTATGTTCTGTTATAATTGAATTCACGGCCATTAAGAATATAAATGATGTACTGAGGAACTTTTATGACTTCAATAAGATGGATTCACAGTTAAAGTTCTTTTATCACGAACTTGATAAGACTTTTCTCTTTACCGTACAGTTCAGTCTAGAAACTTACTTGTTTTCAGCCAAGGAAGCGCGGAATCTTGTTTATACTTTTATTGTACTGAAAACTTCTGATAAGCATTCGATAGTTGGTGCTACTATTGGGTATTAATATAATAAAGGAGGTAATATCAATAGAAAATAAATTATTATTGGAAGGTTTTAATAATAATTAATTTTCCGAAAATATATAACATTAAGCAAATTTCACAGAGCAAGTTACTACGTTTGTTAAGAGTTGACACCTTACTTATTAGAATTTCAAAATTGAATCTATGTAAGGTTGTAAAAAATAACTTTGCATAATTCAAATAAAAAATGTTTTGTTTTATTAGAGAGGGGCTTGCAAATTCAAACATTCAAAATGAAGCTATGCAAACAATTGCTTGCAAATATGCAATGCTAAAAAAACGTTACACAGATTCATATTCATATTCATAAAATGATTTTGTTCCTGGTGACGCAAGTCTGGCAAATTTGAAACTGTAAAACATAGAGCAATCACTTTGTTCTATTGAAATATTTATAAAATTGGCGCGAAAAAGTTTCCGACGCAGATCCATAATTTTAAATTTGAATATCCGATCCAATTATTCTATTTTATATTTTCAAAATAAATAATAATTGGCCATTGTCGCCCATATTTTTTACTGCGTATAGATTATATGTGTTTAAATTATAAATCACCAAGTACAAGTACCCTATATAAATTAATATAAATGAACTGAAAGGATTTTAAGGGCAAAAACTATATTAGGTATACGTGTACAAAATGCTTAGTCATTGCGTTAAGAGGCTCTTCTTCTTGCTAACAATTCCAACATTGTATTTAAATATATACTTTCAATGGTATGAGCTGTCATTGCAGATATTTTGTTTTATGTTCAGAGTACAAAATAGAAACTAAATTATTTATAAAATTTACGGTAATTAATAATTAATTTAAGGTAAACTATTTATTTCTATCCTAAAGAAAATATTGGAGAAAATTGCCCTCTTATTTTGTAGGAACAAAGAATTAAATCACTAACATCTTTATCTATACTCACATTATAAGTATTTCTGTATGTTTGCCTATTTATTATATTTTCATAATAAAACGGAACCTAATTAAAGTTTACCTTTGTGAAGATAGATTTCACCAATGAAGGCAGACAAAGGTTGTTTTCTGTCTCAAAAAGCAGAAGAAGTCGCAGGTAACAGCTAGTTCAAATATACTAAAGACATATTGAGTTTAGAAATATTCAATAGAGTTTAATATACAATAGTCAAATCATTAATACATAGTATAAAACAAAGTTGCTGTCGCTGTCTGTCCCTATGTATGCTTAAAATTTTAAAACTACGCAACTGATTTTGAAGCGGTTTTTTTAAATAGATAGAGTGATTCAAGAGGATGATTTATATGTATAATACATGTACGTGCCAAGCCGGTGTGGGTAGCTAGTATTATATAAAACACAAGACCACGTGGGGACTCTTAGAATGGTAAGCCTTTTAACCCCATGACTAAACAATTTGTTAATGTATACCTAATTGTTTTTTGTTCTCGAAATTCTTTTAGGTTAAGTAAAGACAGAAAAATCATAAAATGCGAGTCATCGTTAGCAGCATAAAACACGCAGTAACAACTTCATGCTCATAATTTGTGTTATTATTTCTTAGCAAACAAATATTGTCCGTAAATTGCTTTTCCCCAATAATAGAGCAAATGAAGAAACTAACCGCTAACAAAAATATTTACTCTTATAGGGAGATATGTAGTGTAAACACACATTAATATGGCAATAATCACCCAGTCTTATTGATCAATCAGATCAAAGAGATTCTGACGAGAGATAGAACTCGACTAGTGACTGTCGAAATGTGGGACAACACTATTAAGCGACATTTATTGTATGGCCAAGCGTTATTTATTTCTACTTGTAGATTTATTCTTGGTAAAAATGGTATCTAGAGTTCAGTAGATAGATTTTTTGTATACTACATAAGTGGGAACCAAACATACGGCCCATCTAACGGGAAATAGTTACGGTGGACGCTTGAAACACTAGGAGTGGCACGTAACGGGTAATCTTAACTATTGATAATTGAATAATATATATCAGTCATTTCCATTTCTATACACTCAAACGAAGCCGCAGCAGAATAATAGTGCCTAATAATGTATTAAGAACCTCTGTGAATATCTAATTACATTCTGTAGTACTCATCTATTCTCCAGATCACTTCCTGTTATAACAAGTACAGGCTCTGTTCCATATTTATCCACTAAAAATAGATACCTACATAGTTATCTGCAGATATAAACTATGACAAGAACATTTTTACAAAACCTCAAAGTTCTGTCCATGTCAACGAGTGCTCGAATAAAATCCGGCGCCACAAACATGTCTCAGTGTCAGATCCAGTCGGAAACTCAGCCCCTAATGCCTACGTCATACCAGTGCACTTGTCGGCGCCTAGCCTGCTCGTCCTGGATATATTTCTAGAGACGCAGTTGCCAAAGTTTGATCCTGTATATAACTTTTCTATATAACCCGTAACCTACGGCTTTGTCCACATAAATTCACGAATATTATATTCATATAAATGATATGATCCACTTGTGTATCAAATTTCACTCGTACATGTTAGGTAATTCTTGCAGAAAAGAGTAATGAACATCTATCTAATTTAATCTTATCTATCTGATGAACATATATATTACATTCTATTCTACATACTACATATTATAACTTAAATATTAGTAATACCTATGATTTTTTAAACAATTACTTAAATGTCTAAAAATAAAATAAATTTTATTTTTAACTTTAGACACAAAAAGAGAAGTGTCTGTGTGTCTATGGCATCGTAGTACCTAAATTAATGGACAGTTAAATTTTTTTTGCTTGATATCTGGCATGATCGAGATTGTAGTTAGCTAAAATTTATTACTTGTATTTTTATTTGACGATTACTTAAAATTTTAATTTTATAATTATTATACTCGTGACTGAAGAGATTGTATTCAAATTTAATTGTAATTGGATTCAAATTTAATGCACACAATATCAAAAGTAGTAGTATATATCTTTGGCGGAGCATTTTCTACCGGCCAATCTTAGATAGTGCAAAGAATAATTGGTTGCAATATTATTTTGCAAAGAATAATATGTCGGCATATTATTTTTGCTCCAAACCTGCCCCAGTATCTACAACTGGTGGCACTATATCATTATTATACAAACTTTATTTTTAAACTTCTTACATAATATTATCATCGTATCCGTGAACGAGTGATACTTATACGGACTAGGAACTAGTCTGCTCTAATTAGCTACAAATAATTTATTCTGTTAGTGTGTTTATAAATCTTCCTTTATATGATTATATGTATATACAATATATTTATTTATAGTTCTTAATCATAATAAAATCTATAAAATAGTAAAATTACATTTTAGAGCCTCGGAAAGACTTTTTTAATGTTGATTAAAATTTCTATAAAATCTAGTACATAACCTTCAATATTTTCTATTACATAAAATGGACATATTTCAATTTGTTATAAATTACTTTCGAATAATTCATTATAATAATCGTCTTAGTATTAGAAGCGCAAACATTTCTGAGGATCTACCTCGACAACTACTGGACCGATTCGACAGAAATTGGGTATACTGACACATCATATCATAGACGACAAAGGTACGATACATAGGACAGGGCAGTGAAATTACAGGGTAAGAGGCATGATAACTCCGGAAAGGCAACACTTTAGTGGTATCTTGGATGTCATGATAACGTGATGTCCATATTGCTTTTAGTGTATAGGCGACGGATACTATTTACCATCAGGTAGATCGTTAACTTGTTTACCATTACCAATTATATAAAAAATGGGCAGTGCCGCGGAATACAGTTAGAAGTCTCATAAATATGTAGTAGGTAGGTCCAATGATGATTAAACGTCTAATTATTTTCTTGCTGGAGGGGTGGTTGTCAGCGCGCTGCCAGTTGCTTGGAATAATATACCGATTTGTATTCTGAAAGGTCTTACGATAATATTTTAATAGTTAGTGCCTAAGTTATATCTACAGATATTTACATAGATTCTATATTATTATGACAGATAATTTCCAGAGGTAGACTGTACAAGGTAGTTAGCGTGGGTATATTTGTCTCACCTATTTGTGCCGTCAAGTAGGTTGTTTTGTACGACATGACTCTTCTCTGATAGCAATGCATGAATGGTAACATGAACACTGCATGAAGACGTGGTTGCCATTGGTTAATATTTACCATTTGGTGGACCATCAGAAGAAGTCATATAAAAAAGTTCGTAGCCATTCAAATTTGTAATAAAAGAAGCAAGCACTAACATAAAAAAATAAACATAATGTATGATTTTGTAACAACACAACAAAAAACTGACATCGGACACCGACAAACTAAGTACGGAAAAAACACGGGACTATACCCATTTAGTTACTAATCACATTAGCCCTCTAATTATGAATCGCAATAGGTGTATTCTTTCCTAATTTTATAAACGATAAAGCGTGTCTTTCTGTCTGTTTGTTACATTCTCACGATGATATGACGT